GTGTTTGGGTTTGTATTCAGTTGCGGACAGCGTCCTGTCTTTGAGGAGATAGTGTGCCAGTTCTGGTGAGAAACCCGTTTGCTGGCCCATTTTGGGGTAATTTTCACTGTCATCACCTCATTTAACTGCAAGTCTTTTTTTCTGTTGAGCCACAGCTCATTTTCCATCACTCCGCCTCGGTATTTCATCAATTGTTATGCGTGTGTTCCGATATCCACCTCTGCCATTTTTCTTCGCCAGAATAGTCACGTGCGCAGTTTAGATCCCCCTACTATGCATCACATGAACGCGTAGGAATTATTTCAGTTGTGGGGAGAGGGGGGCACAAGACTGCTCCGCGAGTACCCAAGGGGAAAGATGGTAAGTACCGATATACGCGGAGTAAATTGATCACAATACGCTGGTGCATGCGCTTGAGGTACCTACGGTCCATGAGGGGTCTGATTTTAGTACCCCAATACGCGGATAGGTTACCGCAAAATATGCGTACTTGGATCTGGATCAGCAGCTTTACTGGGAAGTGCGGGATTTCGCGATGGAGAGGGCGCAGGTCAAAAATTTTAACTCAAAAAGTCATTTATGTGCGCCACAGATGCGTAAAACATCTTGCATGGAGTGTAAGAACGCCATAGTTGGCTTAAGGCAGGAAATGAAAGAGATTGGTTTGACATGTTCTCATCACACGCCCCCACAAAAATTCTAACTGCGCCACTTTTGTCAGCGGTGTTCAACAAATATTTGTTTTTCTATGGTGTGGCATGTAACCAGTGTTAGTAGCAACTACAGTGCTCATGAGGGCAGTAGGGACACATAGCATAACGAAGACCCTCTGAGAAAGTTTCCCCCTCAATCACTGCACGTATATCACTATTTTGCGGCTGCTCATTTTTATACACTCATGTCAATGGGCGCGGTAGATCGCACGCACGCACGCTCACCATGCAAACAACCATGGCTGTGCGCTTGCTTCAAATGTCCCTTTCCTTTTCCTGGACAGGAGAACCTGTTTGTGAAACTCTGAGAGGCCCATTACTGTTCTCAGTCAGAGGCTAACCGGTTCTAGAAGGTCAATGGGACAGGAAGGCGCGGGTTACCAAAGTTTTTTATCTGGGTAAGAGTATACGGTAGAGTTAGAGTGAGAAAGAAGCATGCTACTGGTGAGCTATTTTGACAATGGGACATTTTCCCCAAAGCGTTTTATAACTAATTGCGGTTTGCTGCAAAGCATGCCGCACAACGAGACACCGGCACAAGGCCTGCTGTGACTGAATCTCCTGCTGGCGAACAGATCGAAAGCATGTGCGACAGCAGATTCTGAAAAAGAGCGTTTCCCGCAACGAATGTTCATGATCCAGTGCAGTCCAATATGGCTACCCCAGATCCAATCCACCCGCCGATCGGCTTTTCCCAGATTTCTCAATCTAGTCCGGTCCGGTCCGCCTTACGAGAACAAGTTAATCAAGTGCAAAACAAGTGAATCCGTGCCGAACCGCTTCCACGTAAATGACTTTGTAATATTTTAACAGCAAGTTTGAATCATCTAACTGTCTTGAACTTAAGTTGTTTGTTTATATTCTTTGGAGAAAATGTGCAATATGTTGTCACAAGCCAGCCAGTGCTTAGAAACTTAGCACAGCTTGCTGCTTGTTGCTAATGCAGTTTTGCATGCAGATGAGAACAAACAAGGCTCATATATTATCAATAACATCATAATTTTGATCAATAATTCACAACAGCCACCACACCACAGGGGCCAAAATTGCATCAAGGTTCAATAACTTAAAAGCATGAGCACATTTTGCGATATTTTTAGCTCCAAATTCGGCGCAACATACCTAAACCTGCCACTGGTCAGTTTTAGCGGCAGCCAGTTCACCAGCTCAGGGCGACGCTCATCTCGTGCGTTCAGATGTGTACCCATTCTCGGTCATACCAACTGATAAAACAACTTTGATTGCAAATGTTATTTCCTGCAAAATTACTGGCTGAGTCGACATACACTACGCGTGCGATTATTCGCCGCTTGCGTTACCTGTTTTTTCATCGAGGGGAATGAAAAGGATGAATCATTTTTGAATCCCATTGCCCAAATGATAGATGTTACCAAATATCCCCCTTTTGCTCGCACTGGAAAAAACACAAAAACTAATTTTACATCTAGACTGAGTAGACCAGACTGTAAACTGGACTAGACTAGACTCTTACATGAGACTGAGGCGCCACCGGGGCAGATCGAGATGATCACCCGTGCCCCGAGACTGGCTAGCGGACACGTGGCCAGAGACTGACAGAGACTAGCGATAAACGCCGCGAAAGGTGGGCGGTAGCGCGCGTGCCTTTTGTCTTGTGTTGTTTTATCTTGTGCACATGTACGTACTTTAAAGTATATGGAAGGACATCCCGTGAACTCTGATATCCTCAAAGTATGGAGCACGTGCGCGTGTTGCACTAGCCGGCACCTGACGCCGTCGGCTAGGACCGCCATCTAGTCGGGACACGAACCCAAGTGAAACGACATGCTTGACTGTCATTCTACCTCCACCGGGTCTCAAGTCACGGCCGTGTTGGCGACTAGGCCCCACAACGTCCAGCCGACCCATAAAGTGGGGTTCTTCCGGTGACAGTGGCACAGCTCTTCGGCTCCTTGAAGCAGACCTGTACCTAGATTCAGCGGAAACAAATCCAGCTCTGGGACGGATGCCGCTTTGGTAAGAATTCAACCCGGAAGTACTGTGATCTGATCGTTGTTTTGCTGGATCGCATTAGGAGCCCGTTCGCGTTGTTCGCGAGAAAGAGAAATAACGGCTTTATAAATGTCCGCTCCGCATCACGACGACATCATAATCTCTGCGACATTTAAAGCTAACTTTCCAGTGCACACAGTCAGCTAACCAGGAATTACGCGATAAGATCACGTACAACATACGCTCGCTCCCGTACCTCAGCCGGCTAGAGCACTTGCCTCTGAACCTATCCGTGGCGCGTTCTGGGGTTCCCACCCGCTTTGTCGCCCGCTATTTGGTCCTTGCTGGAATGGCTCGCGACCGGTGACAGCAGCTGATCAAGGTCAGATGAGTTCAGAGAGCGGGGCGGACTGTCTGGTATTACGACACGTTAAACTTCCACCACAACATGTCGCTGCCAAACTGGGATTTCGCGATCGAAAGGTGAGGTCAGGGTTCACTCAACTAGCACGGCCTCGCGTGAACTCTGGTTCCACAAACCGAGCTAATCAAGATCTTCAGGCTAAAAAACAGCCCTGGACGACTCTGCAGCCACACCCTCACGTCGAAGACGGCTCACCAGCGATTTTGTATCAATTCTGATGACGCGACGCTTCGTCCATTCACTTCAGGCGTTGCCATTCCACTTGTGTCAATAGAATCGGTGCAGCCGAGGTCAAAAACCTTTCGTTTAGGAGCCGCATATCGCAAGCGCTTTCCCGGTGCTGTGTCGCATTGGCTGTACTCTCTAAGCCGCTATAAAGGACGCCGGGGGTACTAGACAAGCTGGTAGAGGATGCCTTGGTATTCGATCACATGTTACCATTAGGGCAGGATACGCAGTAAATGACTCCGTATAAGAGATCTCAGACGATCATAGATCACGGTGCCAGGGTGCATGTACACGTTAAACGCTTGCTTAAAAGCTCGCACCCATTTACCGGCCTCCGTGCATAAATTGCATGTAAAGCATACACATCTAAAAGTCATGGCAGTAGACCAAAAACTGGCCTGCTGCAGTTGTCCGCATTTAAATGAAACATGCCAGCGTTACTTTCCCGGCTTCGCGTCGCTGCAAAGTGGAATCAGACCGATTCTGAAATTCAGAAGGCATATAAGGTTGGCACGTGGCGAGAGGAAGGATTTGTGACGTGGGAAGAGGATGGATTTACCAAAGCTCGCAAAAGTAAAAAAAACGACGATGGCGTATACAGACTGTTGACTTCGCATGCGTATCATTGGCTGACGCATGACTTGAAAAAAATGCATGAAGCTCAGGTTATGCAAAACACATGAGGAAAAAGGCAAAGGCTTTAATAATATAGCCGCAGGCAAGTCGATATGTATTATTACATTGAACACATGCCGAGAACAGGAGACTAAGTTCTTGAGATCCGGTACAGATGCTCAGTATTCTTAAGTTGTACCACAGTCCCCGAAAACATTATTTGTATCATTGTCAGGCTCTTGGACAGGTACGCCACCCAACGGATAAGCATTGTGTAGATATGTACGAATATCTCGCAATCAATAACAATAAGCATGGACATGAATAAGGATCAACAAATATTTGCAAATGCGAAGGTTTTGTCGTCATCGCTGGACATTGGCATCCCTAAGAAATGCACAAACACAGTTCAAGTGGTGCAATGAATACCTGTTTGAATGCGCAATATTTCTCTAAAATACGGTATCGAAACGCAGGCCAAGAACTCCTGGGCTGAATGCTTTGACTTGCTACGTCGTAAACACCAAGAGGTAGTCCACAAAACTAACATTGCTTTTGATTCAGGAAATGACGGGTGCTCCCAAAAGGCTCTGGCAAACATTGCAAAAGATACTGCAAGATGCACACATGGCTGTTTTTTAGGTATGGGACGTTGATAGCGTGTTCATCTTGCCAGACGTTATTAAGTTCCTATCTCAGCAGCAACGATGTCGTTCATATGACACGTCACACACTCCGTAATCAGTTATCTAGCTACCCAGCATCTTTCCCATAATTGCAACGGCGTACATGGTACCGACTGCGTTCGCATCGCTCCCACAGCTCTTGATGACTTGCGACTGCAACGACCCACAGTCTGCCTAATGAACGCACACGTCCAGGTGCGTTTTAAGCACGCGGCTGCTTCACCACGTGCTTAAACCCATGCACACAACACGAAACCCCACGTGCGCAGCACGAGCACTCCTTACTGTACGCCGCCGGGCCCCTCCAGCTCGCCAGGCACCAGGCGCTCGCTGCGGCGCAGGGGCTCCTACGCCGGCACGCCGTTAATACAGGCGACCGTTTGTGGCATCGGCCGTCCGCCGCGGTCGGATCTGAATGCGGTACGTCACAGGAAACCGGTCACTGAGGCTGCTCTGCTGCAGCCGCCGCAGGCCGTCGCGCAGCTGGCTGGACTGCTGCCTCCTGCGGGCGTCGCTGGGGCCGCCGTTCGCGCCCCTCCAGCGGTGCGCAGTGCGCGCCGGGTGAGATGACGCTCAGGTCGCTGACGCGGTAGGTGGGCACGTCCAGTCGACTGGGCCGCTCAGGACGCGCGGCCGTCGGCCACAGCTGCGCATCGCTGCCGTGCACCGCCAGCCGCAGCGGGCACCAGGGCATCCGCGCCACTGTCGACGCCGACGCCGACGCCGACGCCGACACCGACGCCGCCGCCGGCGCCGACCCCTCGGGCAGGTGCAGAGCGGGCAGCGAGGCGCAGAGAGAGCGGCCAGACGGCGGCGGCGGGGGAGGCGGCGCCGCTGCCGACCTTGGCAGAAACTGCATCAGGAGAAGCTCAGCCTCCTGGTCGTCAGCCGCCAGATGGCTCGTCACCGAACAAGTGTAGACCTCGGAGAGATCACTCTGAAAGGTCCGGGAAACCCTCAGTACGGGCGTGTGAGGAGGCCGGTATGTCTAAATTGGTTTGCTGAATGAATCGCAGATGTGTGTGCTGAAACATTCATGCAGATCATAACGAACCAAAGTGCCTCCTTGTGCCAGTGATTCACCATTAAATCTGAGCCTTGCACGATCAAATACAGTGCCCACTTCCGCATCTAAGTACGGGGGCTTGGTTTGGTAGCAGCAGGCGTATTTTTGGGGTCACTACTATCATCGTGCATATTCTACCAAATTTCTGCCAACTTAGATAAGACAGCAGCATTAGCCTTCTTCCTTGGAGAAAACCAGGAAAATTGAAATATAGTTGGGTTGATATTTCGGCAACATGCCTTTATCGAAACAATAGCAGAAGTCGAAAACAAAAAGAAATAGCAGCTATCGAAACTTCTGCTATTGTTTCGACAAAGGCATGTTGCTGAAATCCAACTACATTTCCGTTCCCCTGGTTTTCTCCGAGGAATAAGGCCAATACGACTGTCTTATCTATGTGAATAATGCTCCTCGCTAAAACACTTGACATCTTACGTAATTTCTGCCAACTTGTTCGACAAAGACATTCTTGCGATCAGATATTGATGGTATTAAGCATTGACGTTGCTGAAATTGCCGGGCACTGCACAATTTTAGCAACGTTTGTTTTAAGGGCGTAAAAGAGTGTCTCTATATACCTTCAATGCTACCTTTGAGTTCCCATCCAAAAACCAGAATCTAAAAAGCATATATATATGCCTTCCGAATAAGCAGGACCCAGAGACCCCGCGGTTCCCTTGGTTGCCCCCCCCCCCCCCGCCCACTAGTCAAATAGTATTGCAATGCTCGCAAACTGTTTCAGCACTGCACACGCCACCAGTACATACCACACTGACCTGACCGTGACCCCTCTCAGCATGCGCTCGGACCGGGGTTAAATCGACCCCGAAGGCTTTCCGGAATGATTTCCGAAGGGCACGGCTACGCCGCGCCAAATTTTGCACAGCTGTAGAAAATTGAATAGCGGATTGTTTAGTATCAAAAATGTAGATGTACTTTGTGAGGGCACTGACCTACGCAGGTCAAAGTCAGGTAATGGATTCAGCAAGGTCAATTTCTAAAGACTCGTTCCATCTGAACACATCCCATTGATCTGGGATCAGGTATAAAGGTCAGATCAAGGCGAAAACCAAGCTGTTTTATTACTCTAGGACTTGCTATATGAGGTCGTTTCTGGTGCTCATTTCGAATTTATTGGTAACAGGAACCGCCTCATCCATCCTTGGTGCATTTTTCATAGTAAAAATAGGTCACTGACCTAAAATGACTCAGGCCAACATTCTGTTTTTAGGAACACACTGCCTAACGTAATCTTTGTCGCTTATTCGAGTGCAAAACTCAAAGCAAGCAGTCTTGTACGATTTGCTCACTCTGACATCCAAAAGATGAAACAAGGTCCCTGATTATAATTGAGCATCGACTATCTTTTTCTTAGTACAGGTATCTAGGTTCTGGGAACACTTAAGAGACCAACCTGGGGCTTGACCTTCACTTATTTTATTTGACCCGAAGGTCACAACCTAGGAACTTTAAACTTTGATGTAAGAGAGTTAACGTAAAGACCAATACACGCTGTGAATGTGGTGTTTCTAGCCCTCTTATTTCCTGATATATTAGGGGTCAAATTGACCCCCTCCGAGCGAAGGGCATCCAGCCGGTCATCCGGGTGCATGTTAACATCACACTGACCAGACCGTGGCCCCTCTTCATATCACCCTGACCAGACCGTGGCCCCTCTTCATATCACACTGACCAGACCGTGGCCCCTCTTCATATCACACTGACCAGACCGTGGCCCCTCTTCACACCACCCTGACCAGACCGTGGCCCTTCTTTACGCCATACTGACCTGACTGTGGCCCCTACGTTAATTTCCGAATAAAAGATCCATTAATAAAAATGGTGGGTGCCCCGTAACTCAAAACTCCATTGAATTCCGTAGTGGGCTTCCTCGCATTATCAAGCATGGGGTACTGATACCAGGGACGGAACAAGTGTGCAGCGACACGCACGCAAAAGAATCGATCTCACAGCGGGGCCCGACATTACAAGCTACACTTCGTCATGATACCATGATCGTTCCCACAGCGGGCCCAGTATCACAAGGCACGCCTCGTCATGATACCATGATCGATCTCACGGCGGGGTCCAGTATCACAAGCCACGCCTCGTCATGATACCATGATCGATCTCACGGCGGGGTCCATTATCACAAGGCACGTCTCATCATGATACCATGATCGATCTCACAGCTGGGTTTAGTATCACAGGCGATGCATCGTCACGGCAATCCACGCTTTGTCACGACAAGCCGAAACCCTTTACAGTTCAAACAGAGATCAGGCTAGCCCCTGGTGACGTCACACTGACCTCTGATGACCCCGTGCTGGATGGCGACCGCTGCGCCACACTCAGCTCCTGCTCCAGTCCAGTGATCTCACGATCCAGCTGGATCACTTCCCGCCGGTAGCAGCGGTTTTGCACCTCTGCGCGGTAGTAGATCTCTTTACGATCGTCCACCAGTAGCCTGCGTGGCACATGATAAACGGATGATCTAACACCGTCCTCCAAACATGTCATTCAAGCAAACAAAATCTTCAAACAGATATATCTCCCTTGAGTCGTCCCTCACCGGCCTGAGTGACAGATGACAAGTAAATGCTTTCAATTTTTCTGCTCTTCAAGAATTAGCTGGTCCTTATCTCTTAATACCTAACGTAACATCACGCACTGCGTACCGTCGCACGGTGATAAATAAGGATACGTGATAGACGCAGGCCGGCATGGACGCAGAAGCAGCTCACATGGATGGTCGCACAAACAGGTCAAATGGGCAGACGCAGGAGATCGCGTCGACAGATACAGGGTGCCCTGATGGACGCACGATGAGTAACAGGCCGCAGAAGTCAACAACGTGGCCTCCCTCAGATTGAAAGTGCCCCTAATTGTCCCCTTAGTGTCCCCTGAGTGCCCTCCCTGGTATGTCTGCACCAGGGGAACGCTCCTGATGACAATGGTAACATTTTGAAGTATATTGTATATTGAAGAAGTATTGAAGTATATTGAAGTATATTGTATATATACATATATACACACACACACACATATATATATATATATATATATATATATATATATATATATATATATACATATACACCACTGCTCGTAAGATCCGATTTAAAAAATTGGTAAAAATCCTTGCGATTTTACCACCAGCAAGCACAATGCATGACATGCATCATAGGTCGCAGATTTTTAAGCGAACGAAGTCAAACTCTGTATATTATCCTCAGTATATCGAACGCCACGCCAATAATAAGGCTTAGTTAATTCATAACATTACATTTGAGCACAATGACAGCAAACAAGCGTGGGCAGATTAACAAGGAAGGCCATGCCAAACCATGCAAACATTCAATTTTGACTTATATCTCAATTTGCCTTGAAAATATCGACCACGGGTCCTGGTTTTTTATACAACGTAGTTTCCTATAACATCCATATCTCTTGCGTTTTTTTGTTATTCCGTCTTTTACGGCTCACAAGATGGCAGAAGGAGGGGGAGAGATTTCCCCATCTGGGATCAGTCGAGTCAAGCAGAGAAGGCTGCGTTCTATTAGCGGCAGATAACCTAGCCCATCGAGCCATTCAGCGCGTAGTATCAAAGTGTAGCACGCAACGTTGAGGAAAGCATATCTGGATAAGGCAAGAAACTACGTTTTCAAGTGGCTTCTGTTCGAAAGAGATGGGATGAAAAATACCGAGACTGAACACACCATACCTTTCAGTCACATCTTGTCAATGCCGAATGAAATGAACTGATTAAAAAGCAGAACAAGAATATGTAAAAACATGTGCGCGGCTACTGTGGAGCGCGACGCGGATAGATCGAGGAATCGCGGACCTCATCGAACACTGGTGCATCTATCCGCGAAGTAAGGCGACACCAGCCCAGCCCCTGGGCCCAGCAGGGTAACACTGGTGGATCTCTCCGCGAAGGGAGGAGACCCCGGCCCAGCCCCTGGGCCCAGCAGGGTAACACTGGTGGATCTCTCCGCGAAGGGAGGAGACCCCGGCCCAGCCCCTGGGCCCAGCAGGGTAACACTGGTGGATCTCTCCTGCGAAGGGAGGAGACCCCGGCCCAGTCCCTGGGCCCGGCAGGGCAACACTGGTGCATCTCTCCGCGAAGTAAGGCGACACCAGCCCAGCTCCTGGGCCCAGCAGGGTAACACTGGTGGATTTATCTGTGAAGTGAGGCGACACCAGCCCCGCCGCTGGGCCCAGCAGGGTAACACTGGTGGATTTCTCTGTGAAGTGAGGCGACACTGGCCCCACCGCTGGGCCTAGCACGGCGACACTGACACAAGGCAACAGCCCCACAGGAGATGCGCGGATGGGTCAGTCCGAAACCGGCTCTTTCCCATTAGTAAAACGGGTCCACCGCCTGGACCGTTTTTGTGGACTGGATATGTTTTCTTGACCCCAGACACATTCGCAGCTTGGGAACAGTCCCATGACGGTGGGAACAAGTGCCGTTGCGGCCGGGCCAGTGCAATAGCGGGGGCGCGCCACCCACCTGCGGGTGTTGCTCTCCACCCTGAGGCCCAGACTGCCAGTGACCGGGTCCTGGTCGGCGTGGTAGATGATGGAATGGATCTGCCGAACAGAGAAACGCTGTTACATGACGCAGAGCGCACCCATCGACTGCAGCGACGCGGCACCTCTGCTGGCCGTCCCGTCGCATACCATCGCATGCCGGGGTGCAGTTGCATGCAGCGTGCAGTTCGCACACGCCATAAACGCAGCGTCAGTGCGCCGAAATGGATGGGCCGCTATTCTGGTCGCGCCAAACTTGTCTTGCCAGCGAACGCTTGGTTGATGAGATTTCCATCTGTGGGTGAGGACGACGCCTTCGACACAGCCGCCATCTGACCGCGCCAAGGCCGCAGTGTGCGGCTCACTAGCCGATCGCCAAACGCACTCGGACAGACCGACTGCTGGCGAGAGCGGAGGCAGCTGTCCGGGGCCGACTGCAGCGCCGCCAACGGCCGACCGCGGCACCTCTAGCGGACGCACCGCAAGGGTCGGCTACCGTCATCAACGACCTGCGCTGCACTGCTTGCCGCCAGCGTCTGTCGCAGCTGAGTCGGCGCCGCCCGTCTGGAGTCCTTCGGCGTGAGACGGCGTCCCGCGGCCGCTAATAAGGCTGAGTAGTAAAGTAATTGATAGTCACTTGCGAACGGGGACAGCATGGTCATTGTTGCATTATTTTTACATTTATTCCTTGACGCTTTTAGCAGCGTGTGTCGACGGCGGGGCCTTCGCACAACTTGTCACTCATACGTATATGAAAGCGTCAGCTAAATGACAAAATAAGCCCCCCCCCCCTGCGACGCCGTGGCCGACACCAGCAATGGACGAGCGTGAACTTGTCGTGGATCCCCACAAACGTTGAGCTCATCGTATGTGCGAATTACTCGGTAATCCGCGCAGCCGTCTGTGCTGTGCATCTGGCCAAAGAATTGCAAAAACGAACGTCTGTCTGAAAAAGATCTGTCCTACAGAGACATGCAGACAGACAGGGAGGCAGATAGACAGATAGAAAGACAGACAGATAGACATACACACTGCTGATACTGATAGACAGACAGGAACACAGACAGACAGACAGATATACAGACAGACAGACAGACAGACAGACAGACAGACAGACAGACAGACAGACAGACAGACAGACAGACAGACAGACAGACAGACAGACAGACAAACAGACAGACAGACAGACGGACAGACACACGGTCTGAGCTTAGATGACCTTTGCTTTCAGTCCAGATCACCAATGTTTTAAGAATCTCAGTCCACGGATACCGACCGACGCACTTGTTTCTCACGTGTAGCCGTAGTCTTTTGCGTAGCGCAGGGTTTGGGTGCGCAGTTCACGTTGTCACGCGGCACTTATATGGACAAAAGCGATTACGGTGGTCATGCAACCGCCCACCGGCGACATCTTCCGCCAGGATTCGAGACCGGACCTCCAGCGAGGAAGCCGGAGCCAGTCCCGGCTGGGGCCCGCGTGGGGCCACATCGGCTGGGCATCGGCGAACAAACGGAGCACTGGTGCTGTAGGCGTACGGGATATACGGCTCCGACATGTCTTACTCCGGTGGTAAATGTTAAATTGCACCGGTCGACAGCTGGAATGTTTTGGAAAAAAGCCCACGATGGCTAATTTGTGAGCTCTGAGAACGAGGATCGTGTTTAAAGTCGTTGAGCGACCCGTTTCTTTAAAGACGCAGAGGACGTCGAAATGGGCTCAACTTGTAACTAAAACGGTGTCCTTTGGTATAATTTTCACGACATGGGAAATCTAATATGACAAATTAGGGATTTAAATGTTTACGAGAGCACGAAAGGGAAGCATAGAAACAAATCAAAAGAAGAAAAACGGACGAGGGCAGACAAATGAAATATTCCGCATTGCGTGGGCATTGCTAAAACAGGCCATGGCATTTTCATCCACTTTTTTGCGCTGCTTTCGGAAATGCTTATTCGTTTGTGTAACAATTGAAGCTGCACCAGTTGGCAGGTGTACATATAGCTCCATCCGTGGAAAAAGTCAAATGTAAAAGTTTCTTGTTCAGTGTCATCACCAGTGCTCTGCCCATTGGGTATGGTTTGTAAGACGTACATTTCGATTCATTGATAATATGAAGAAGTTATGACATCCATACACTGAAAAAGGATTTAAACTACATCGTAAAAGTGCCGCCACTCATTGCCGTGTGATTGTATACCAATTCTTCCAAGGATAAAGAGCTGCATATGACAGAGTTGTCTGTAGTAACAGCAAGTCAATCAAAGCAGATGAAGATAATACAACAGATATAGTTGTAGTAATATTAGTTCCCCTGTTGAGCAAGTACCCCAGCCATAAGTGTTGAGTAAGCACCCCAACAATAAATGTGGAGAGCTTTGCGCTGACTAAGCAATACAAAACTGCGATCACCCTGATACTTGTCTTATGATATGAAGAACACGCCATAACTCAGCATGATACATTGAGACAAAACTAAAAGCGTTGTACATGTTGGGTTTGAATAATATGATCTCAGTTTCCGACAGTATCGATGAACAAAGCCATTGACACATTCTTGAAACAAACCCATTCCACACAATGCGCGCTGTTCAAGTGTTTCAAGTGGAGCTTTTTTATATGGGCGTTCGAAATACAACCATGAATGACAAACTACAGCAATTGTATCGCAGCAGACTGAGTCATCTAAACTCCGTCTGCCTCGCACAAGTTGGAATTAAAAGATCATATCTCTGAGTGGTAACAAACGACATCACGGAGCCGCCCCAGCCGTCTCAACACAACTGTCTGCCATTCTCGTGACCAACATGTCTGCTTGAGACGAAGAAGCACAGAGAAGATGCCAATAATAATCACAAGTCGGTCGGTTATGAGGACGCCACAGAGCAGTGTAGCTGGGGTGGCTGCGACCGGCGCCTGGCCCCATCCAGGTTCATCTCCGATCCGGCGACGACAGCGCAGACTCGGCCTGTGAGTCAACAGCAGGACTCGGGCCCGTCGGCGAAAGCAGAGTCAATCTGGGCAGCGCCAGGTCGCGGCCGACCGCCGACTCAAGTGCCGCGCGAGGCGCCGCGGTGGCTCCGTCGGCGTCGACGGCAGGCAGGACCGACGTCACGGGGGGAGAGGGGGGGAGTGCGGCCGGCGCCCACCGGCCGGCTGAGCCCAGGCGACACCGACGGCCGTCTGTGGTCAATCGTCTCTGCATGCGGGATGGCATGGCTTTTTCCCGGTGGGAGCTGCCTCGCAATTGGGCGGACCCGCAGGCGTCGGCCAGACGAGAAATGTCACCGATGGAAGGGGTGGAAAGCAGGGGAAAAGGACACACGTGGATGTCGGTAGCCCACGACGCGATGCGACCACGGCCGTCGATCGGGGGGGGGGGGGGGGGGGGAGAGATTCAGGAACAAAACACCGGGAAAGAGCTGTTGCCAAAATTCCTAGTCGAACTTTCTATGTGCCTTATGACATGGGCTCATTCCCAATTTTGTTCTGGTTAGTGGTACGACCCCTGACCTGTGCTGGAACATTTGGCTTTTCAACGGCAACAGCAACGCCGTTGTATTCACTTTCCATATCTGTCTGCATGCCAGATTTAAACTGAATGATGAAATACACTCTCCTGTGTTTCTGAATGTAATGAGTATTACACTTGACAAACTGTGTACCATCTCAATGCGTTATATGTACCCATTAGCTCGTCTCACGATGGCAAAATAAGTCAAGGCATAATTTGCATGAAAGATGGGGTAGCTAAAGAATTGAACACAAAGAAACATAAAAGATGCTGAATCATATAAAATGTATGAAAAATAGGTAGTAGCAAACCACATGGCTTGTCCTGAGGGTTATAAAAAAAAACAAAAAAATTTACGTCGGAGACGCCTTTATTTCACCATTTTGTACCCATTCGCCATCTCTCGTTCACGGTGCTTCAAGATTTGGGACCGCAAACGTAGAATGAAAAGTTGATCCGCGAAGATGAGACAAAAACACGTCCGAAGTCAAGTATGGCGCCTGTTTTGACAGGCATGATGAAAAAAGGTTGGTTTAAGTCCTGTCTATCATATCTGTTCGTGCCGTATAAATCTGGCACCAACTCATATGTATGTTAAGAGTGCTAGCACAAAAATGCCTACATTACACAAAGAATAACAAAAGTGCACGCTCAACCAATCAAAATTACGCACGTAATAATAAATCCTGTCTATCATATTTGTTCGTGCCGTACAAATCTGGTACAAACTCATATTTATGTTAAGGGTACTAGCGCAAAAATGTCTACATTACACAAAGCATAACAAAAGTGCACGCTCAACCAAATGAAATTACGCACGTAATTTACGTTTCTAATTACGCACGTAATGCACAGACCGATTGAACATATTGCCACTTAAGCACGGTCCATTCGCAGCACGGGTCTTCTGCACCACCAGCAGCAGATGTGAGTCTTCGGCCGAGTTCGCCTTCGGGCCGAGAGCTTCCAGCGGGGAGGCTGCCACGAATTAGCCCGTGCAGCTCCACGTGGGACAGCAGTCAGGGAACTGTTTGCTCGGGTCTACGGTGACCACATTACAGCCGGCGGGCACGCTGCTGCACATGTGGGTGGTCAGAACACCGCTGCTGCAGCTGAACTTCCTGCACCTGCTTCCGAACACAGACTGACCGTTGGCCACCTGCCGGCCGTCGTGTTTACAAGAGCCGGAGCTGCGCGCACTGCTGCCGCCGCCGCCGCTACCGAGTCTGCCTCCGCTGGTGCCACCCCCGCTGCCGAAGCCGCCGCAAGACCACACCGGGCAGCAGTCGGGGAAGAGTTTGTTGACCTCGCGCTTGATGACCGTGCAGCCGGTGGGCACCTCGGCGCAGAAGCGTGTGGTCAGCACGCCGTTCTGGCAGGACAGGCGCTGACAGCCGTTCCCCTGCACCGTCTGGCCGTTTGCAACGGGGCTGCCACCGTTTTCGCACGACCCGCCGCCTCCTCCCAGCGGGATCCGGCCGCCTCCGCTCAGCGGGATCCGCCCGTCGCCTCCGCCCAGCGGGGCCCGGGCGCCGCCCTCCCCCGCGCTGGCGCCAGTGCCGCCGCCTAGTTGTACGGTGCCGCAGCGCCAGCGTGGGCAGCAGCCGGGGTAGGGCCGCGCGCCGTCCTGGCTGACCAGCTGGCAGCCGGCCGGCTGCGGCTGGCAACCCTCGCGCTCCAGCTCGCCTCGCAGGCAGACCAGCCGGCCGCAGCCATCCGGCACGCTGGCGCCCTCCACCACGCTAAGGCCGGCCGCCGTGCTGCAGTCAAACAGCTGCGCAGAGGCCCGGCCGGCGGCGGCGGCCAGCAGCAGGGCGCAGCGCAGCGGCGCGAGCGCGCGGGGCGCAGCCATCACGCTCAGCCAGAGGGTCGGATGGACTGCAGCCCGCCGGCGCCGCGCCCACCTTATACAGGGGAGGTTGAGCCGGCGCCCAGAACTGGTTTGGGCGCCGGCGCGTGGGCAGGCGGACGGCAAAACACGGCCCTGAGCCAGGCATGGTCCTCGGCACCTACACGACAGCCGGCGGGCCGGATTGACACTGCAGCACAAATGCGCCACCGCATTGACTTTATTAGCTGTCGAGGCAGTTCTGGAAGCGTCGCTAGAAACGTCACTTCAGCATAGTTAGTGGTTCGCCATTCGAGGTACTGCTGGCCAGGCAGATTGGCTGGGCCACGAAAACTCCAACCGGGGCCTTTTTCAACTGATGTCGGTGCCTGTTCGGCATCTTACAGGGCACGGGTGCGAGTCGCACGGCCCTGGCTCTTTCGACATGCTCTTTATTCATACGCCATCGACGGCCACGCTTTTCCCCTCGCAAAGGCCGACAGCTTACAAAACAGGAAAGTTATTAAGTCACGTATTCCGATTAGCTCCGGATTCCAATGCACTCAGCGTGCATCCGGAATCAACGACGACGAAGTCATCTACCAAAGTGAGCCATGCCACTTGGCGCCGACTGGAAGCATGGCAACTTTTGCTGTCTTTTATGGGACACGCCTGCGCCGTTTGTTTACCGTGTCCTAAATACTGGAGAACTGGGCACACCAGCAGCCATGAAGGGATATGTCTGACCCGCAGTACAGCTTTTAGCAAGGATATTGCCATCAAGGCACATTTTGACCGATATTGCCTGAGGACTGAAGTCAATCCAGAAAAAGCTGGTAGCGTCCTGCCCCCCCCCCCCCCCCCAGCCGATGCATGGATGGATGCAACTTATGTCCATGCCGACAGGCACCCTGTATGCACTATATGAACTTTGCAGCTTGTCGTTCGATGTCCATTTGCAGCTTGCCGTCGCAGATGTCTATCCCTTTGTGCCCCCGCAGATGTCTATCCTTCCGTGTCCCTATGTATTCTATGCCCCTGTGTCCTGTGCCCTCCCCCCCCCCCCCCCGCCGCCCTTGCTCAATCCCTTCAAGCGCTCGCCTCACGACAGGGCAGGTAATTTGACTCGCCTCGGCGCACGCAATCCGTTCAGTCCTGGTGCGGCCTCCGGCCGGTGGCAGTGGTCGCTCAAGGTTAGGCGACGTCAGGCTGCAGGACAGACTGTGTCGAGCGTTGCGGCGCGCTAGAACTTTGTTACAAAATTGGCCGTTGCACAAAATCTGGGATCGGATAATAGCATCGGGGTGTATACAACAAACACGAACTAACGTAAGCTCTGATCGCAGAAATCCCTCCAATCAAAATGTTCGCACTAAATACAGGACAAGATGAGGGTGTCTGAAACTCACTTTTGGCACAAAAAGCAGGCAGAGTGTGGTAGTGGTGGACATGATGATGAGCGAAGTGATGAGCACGAAGGCCAGCGTAACGCGTTCCCAGACGGCGTTGGCCATGGTAACCACGATGACGCTGGTGATGACAACGTTGTACACGCTGAGGCCGATGTAGCGCGAGTCGTTGAGCGCCGGTATCTTGACACCTCTGCAGCGAGCAAGGACACCAGGCGAGAATGTATCATGTCGTGACCGTGAGCGATATTACAGAACACCGCTACGTGGTGCAAATGGTAAGGGTAAGGGCAGAAAATGTGTGTGAGGAAGAGAGGGAGAGAGAGAGAGAGAGAGAGAGAGAGAGAGAGAGAGAGAGAGAGAGAGAGAGAGAGAGAGAGAGAGAGAGAGAGAGAGAGAGAGAGAGAGAGAGAGAGAGAGAGAGAGAGAGAGAGAGAGAGAGAGAGAGAGAGAGAGAGAGAGAGAGAGAGAGAGAGAGAGGAGAGAGAGAGGAGAGAGAGAGAGAGAGAGAGAGAGGGAGGGAGAGACAAAACGGTGAAAGATTATAGCCTACATTATATAGGCTATAAGATTACCGCACAAAGATAAAAGCCTCAAAAGGCTGTCCCTGGAGATTAGTACGCTTAAGATGACGTCAGTGCGACGTTAAGTTGTTTTATGCACGGGATAAAACAGCGCTCACTACCTTTTAGCGACCGGATTGAGCGTCACCTTGAAGCAGGATAAGCTATAATTCGAGAGCGATCCCTTACTATACAAATCACCGCGTGGCGGTCCACTCACCTGGTCTCCCAGGCCATGTAGACCGCCACTGTGAGCAGCAGACCTTTGTAGGCGTACAGGGCGCCCAGCCACTTGTGTTCGTGCTGAGAGTAGCACACTTCGACCTGCGGGAGGGAGCGCGGGGCTAGAAGCAGGCGTGGTTGAAATGAGCCCTGGATCCTGACTATGTGATGCGATTCTTTGAAAGCCGGTAGTTCCTGCCGTCCACACATTGCACGATTAAGACCTCTCGTCATCTTCTAGTGCGCTGCCATCCAAAGGTGCCTTATGGGGCAATTTTGCATGCAGATGCAGGGGGATAAGCCCTGGTTTACGGGGTATGCTCGGCAACAAAGACAGAACCTTTTGCGAACTATTTGGTCACATATTTGCGAAATTGGCGATGCATTGCAACAGATCAAACCACATCACAACAGAGCATTTCATTTAGACGATACCCAAAGTTTGACATTGGTCTGTACTCGCTAACGCTTGCAGCGTAAGCTTGTGTAGAGCACATGTCGAAGCACTGACGTTTCGCTGCATGAGCAAGTTGAGCAACAACATGTTGACAAACAACCGTTAAAGCAACCTTATATCCACATTTAACAATATCCTGTTCAAGCAGCTCTAATCAGGACAGTTTGTAACAGCTGACAGAAATATACTAAAAGCTATCATATTATATCAGTGCTGACGTCAGAGATCAGCGGCAACACAATGTTTTTCCAATGACGCTCAAATCAGTACCTTTCGCAGATTGTTTAGTCAAGATTCACTTCGGATTCCAAATAGCATAAAAACCAAATAACTGTGTTTACTACCAGTCGTAAGAGTCGCGGTGACCTTAGCACCTTCAGACGAACGGCATCAGTGCTGCGTGGCGCTCTAAATCATCTCGCCACTTGAGACCGCTGGCCTCGGCTGCTCGCAACGCAGCTGTGAATCGGGTTCAGTGCAAGGCTGTAGACTGCCGTTGGTGGCGTTTGTGTCGTGATGAGCTCACTGGCTTGAAATACGCAGTTATTTGTCAGTTGTTTTTTTAAAGACGCTGTCCGCCTCTTGCAGGGATCTACCACTTAGGGCGTAAATGGTTATAGCATTGAACAGCCTTGCTGATCCAGGAGGCTCTTTTTTGTGGACACCCAAACCATGGCTTCAGAGATTAACGGGAATATTTGAGCGGCGCATGTCAAGGATTCATCCAGGGCTTTCTGCCGCCGAGAGGAACATCAACTTAAGGGGAAAATGCCGAGTGCCGCTGGCGTAAGTCCTGCACACTGCTCTCCGCACGGTAGATTTACTGAACGACTCAGTTAACAGACGTAACATAAATCACTTTTGATTGCCATTACATTGTGTCTGGTGTTAAATGCAGGCAAGAAAGCTTTCAAAAATGTCCTGTGCATCTGCTGATACCCATATCTCTTGGCTTTCGTACTAAATTTCGTTGAGACCGTGTTACGAAGTGCGAGTTCTGCGCCGGTAATGATTATGCGAAGATGGTGAAGGTCGCCATCGTTTCCGACTGATCGTACGTTGATATCACCTAACCAAAATTGATATCGTCTTCAGGTGCTTGTAGAACCATGCAAATCGATTGATGTAGGGCTAGGGGGATGCAGCTTGCAAAATTCTTAAGGAGGGAGGGCTCAGGAACAAAACAGGCTGAGCCTCAGGAAAAAAACAGGCTAGAAACTCAATAACTAATTAACTAACTATCAAAGTACGGGAGCAGCTGTCTGGAAGAGCTTACGTTTGGTGAGAGGGTCTCACACAGCTGAGAGGGTCTCACACAGCCATAGTCAGTGCAAGTGGTTGTAAGTTCATCTGTAGGGTTCTGGGGTAATAAAACAGCTCATGTTACAAGTGTGCACCAGCCTCTGTCTTTTAGCAGAATGAGTAACAATGGTAATGGGTAAGGTAATGGGTAGGGTCTGGCTGGAAGGTACGTCTGCGGCAGCTTGTGGCAGGTATGTCATACCCCTGACTCCAGCCCAGTACTCCACAGAGTCTCACCTGTGTCAGGTATGTCATACCCCTGATTCCAGCCCAGTACTCCACGGTAGTCTCACCTGTGGCGGGTATGTCATATCCCTGATTCCAGCTCAGTTCTCCACGGTAGTCTCACCTGTGGCACGTATGTCATATCCCTGATTCCAGCCCAGTACTCCACAGTAGTCTCACCTGTGTCAGGTATGTCATACCCCTGATTCCAGCCCAGTACTCCACGGTAGTCTCACCTGTGGCAGGTATGTCATACCCCTGATTCCAGTCCAGTACTCCACGGTAGTCTCACCTGTGGCAGGTAAGTCGTACCCCTGTTTCCAGCCCAGTACTCCACGGTAGACTCACCTGTGGCAGGTATATCATATCCCTGATCCCAGCCCAGTACTCCACAGTAGTCTCACCTGTGGCAAATATGTCATACCCCTGACTCCAGCCGAGTACTCCGCGATAGTCTCACCTGGGGCAGGTATGCTACACCTCTATCCCAAGCCGAATACTCCATGGTGAGGTTGCGTAGCTGCCGTTGCATGGGGTCGAACGTGACCCAGACGGTGACGATGACGCAGTCGAACAGCAGCAGCACCAGGATGAGTGACATCAGCTGCGTGTCCTGCAGCATCTGCCGACCAACGGTGCAGTCAGCAACCCGCCGAATATGTCAGGCGTGTGACTGCTGTGATTCGTACCATTGTGCCAAGATAGCCTGTTAAGGAAGCCAGACCGTGCACGTGCAGCGTTAGTTAAACGAAGGGTTACAGTCATGAATTTCAAAAACAAAGATATCATGCATGCAATCGATCTAGACTAATCGAATGAAAGACAAATAATAGCCAACAAACTATTACATGCGCCAAACAGAGGGGAATGCGGGCGGTGCCGTGTCTCACAACCACGACAGAGCTGTCGAGTTGCATTCGTTAGAGGTGGCTACTGCTGCCACCATTATTGAACTTGTCTCATCCAGAACCGAGTTTCCATCACATTAGAATAAACCACGACTCAAAGGGTTGCTCATAATTGTCTACAACGTAAAATGAAACATAAAAAGCTGTATTCGATCCAAGCTCTACGGCCTTTGGATGGATCAGAAACGACTTACACCACACAGGGATGAACGCTTGGTTTCTGGTTTGCACAATCGAAAAGCCGGCATTAAACAGTCGCTCCCACTCTCTCCACCTTCGCCTGGGGGTAATCCTTGGTACGCGACCGGTAAGCACTCTGTAAGGCTATTAAATGGGACAAAAGGCGCAGGCAGCAGTACAACGTAAAATAATATATTGCACATGGAATAACAGGCACTTGGACTTAAAAGCAATCACAATAAAAATCAACATGCAGTTGTGTTAAGCAATTCACCCTAACATGCCAAGATAACACGAAAGTGCATTTAACTACACGACACCTCAGTGCGAAAATGAACTCCAAACATCCTGGAACTGGAGACCGGGCTGGTCGTAAACCCGCCGCCAATTAGTTACAAAACAATTTTATACAGAAACCAAATGTATGACGCATTTCATGGAATTCTAGTCCGCTAAAATCGATAGGAGGTGAAATTATACACCCAGACAATGACCCTAGTAAATGTAATATGCAGTCCCGGAACCAGTCACACAATTATGACTTATTGCATAACTTCCAGCGTTCCGGTTTGGGCTCACTGGAGTCACTTTTGGCTCACCGGAGGCACTACTGGCTCGGAGCCGGGCTCTTGTTTCCAGGTCCACCAGACCACACGTCCAACTTTGGCGGCGCCGCCAAACACTCAATCACATTACGCACCGGAGAACTTTCAAATGTGTCCCGGGACGGGGAAGACCTTGCCGGATATTACCGCAGGGACGGGGCCTGACGGCTACGATCGTTTGATTCAGCCGATCCCAGGCGCGGGTGGGAGAGGTAGGCGGCCGCACGGGCGTCGCCATTCAGCAATAGGTGCGTCGCTCGTGCTTCGGCGACGGCCGAGGGGCGGCCTCAAAGGGGAAGTGCTGGTGCGGTGCAGTACAGGGTATGATCACATATATGCATATATACAGGGATCACATATATACAGGGTACACAATCCATACGAGACAGGGTATGGATTGTGATCCAATATGAACGTACCGAAGACAACTGATCGCTACCCACACGTCGGCCGTAAACACGCGAAATTAAAGAAAAAATGTAATTGTAATATATACAAAGGTTGAAAACATTCGGTACAGCAAGTACATACACTAACAAATTGAAAGCGAAGCCAAATAGTTCACCCGTTTGTGATGGTAAATGTTTTAAAATAAGATCGAAGTTACTGGGATGTGAGACAACACGTCGACCACACATCGTACTTGTGAAATTGGCCTCGATTAGAGAGCTTTAGCCGGTACTTCAGCCACCACCTGTTTTGGCAGTTGTTATCTGATAATACGGACGGAGCCAATTTGCGTGCGTGTGATTAACGATCAGGGATTTTTAATCCACCTTGAACACATGCACTCCCGACACGAAGACAGGCATTGTCTTGTTTGATCAATCTAAATTACCATAATGCACACAGCACACCCTAACAATGGCCATGCTCCGGGCAGAAAATATCGTCGTGCAAACGCGCAAAGGTAAAGACTTTATTTGAAGAATTTCGAGTCGCCAGCATGTAGGCTCATCGCATGCCAACAAGAACATGAAAATCGGAGAATGGCAGGCCGAAGAGCGGACAGTTTCACCGGGAGGCACTAAGCTATCCAGCCAAATGACGTCAATGAAAGCATAGCGCGCCGACCATCTCGCATCGTACTGGCCTCCACAAAGTCCAGTCGCCACAGATTGTGTTCCCCGATTCAGACGGCAGCAGGCCTCGGTAAGCAACGGCCGCCTCGCCAGACCAGACCTGACCTGACCTGCCCAGCCAGCCCAGCCTAGTTCAACCCGAGCCGACCCGACCCGACCAACCTATCCTAATCTAGCAGCATTCATCCGCGCCAACGGACCAATGTTTTGTAATTTGTTGCAATCTTGTTATGCTTAAACTAGTTGGTATGCACTATTTGCTATTACCTTGCGCTGTTTCCGGTAGTTTTGTCTAGACCATGGTGCATCGTTATCGACGTGATGTGAATTTGGTATGTTTTCCGTTACAACTGAAAATTATACCAAGCTGTCAAGCATACACGGACGCGTGTCGACGCGCTTCTGTGTATAGAACGGTAGCAAATATGGAGCAAGGCTGATATCTGCCACCGTTTTCTGCACATGTGATACCCTGTCCGGTGGCTCGCGGGCCACTTCCGAGATTGTGATGAAAATCGTGGTTATTCACATAGGCAACCCTCCGGCCAGGGCGCGGATGATCTGAGGAGCTGGCTAAGCCAATCAGCTTCTTGCAAATGTTGTATTAGTCCCATTCACGTTAGTGGAAAGAAATGTACCGTAGGCGTTATTAGAACGAAAATGCGTATCGGCCCCCTAAATTTGGAAGACTTCCGTTCTCCCTGTCACAGGATAACAACTGATCTGGAACTAAATGATCGAAAATGACTATCGTCCACCCGCCCCTCCCTTATGTGACTCGCTCTTTTTCTGTCCCAGAATTATAGGCGATGTTCAGTTTAATGGAAGTAATAACATTATTTCCAACGGACTTCAGAAAGCCTGTATGAAGTGCTGAAATCATTTGAGTGCGCAAAGCTGCTCATTTTTAAGGGCGGATTGAAGGGGGGGACAGATGGAGAAAAATTATGTCATGGCCCCACTCAAGATAGCTCATGTTCGACACAAATGACACATTTCTGACTTTCAATAAAGCTTTAAAGGCAAGCGATACGACTGACATGCACCAAACTTCAATGTATTTTGCTTTGCTTAAAAATCAGAATGTCTTTTAAACTTTGCCCTCCATGCCAGGACTGTACTTGTTCTCAAGACGGTGTTCTGAATCCACGCTTGCTCATTTCTGACATAACTAGCTAAAGGTCACTGTTGTGGGACGTTTGAAGGCCGGAAGAACCACATTATCTGGCGGCCAAGCCCACAGAGAGCTCGATGGTCTGTGCCTTGTGGGCATGTGGACGCGGAAAAGCGGCAGCTTTGATTAGCAGCAGCAGAAAGGCTGGTTTGCGCGCTGGCTTTTTGAGGAGAATAGAATGGCCGTTGCGCATTCATTCCCTAAAAATTTGCCTTGCCCATGATGGTCATGTGGCTTCCGAGAGGCAGTCCGGTGCGGTGTCGGCTTAAGCAGCACCCCAGCGAGGAGGGCACGCACAACCCCCGCCTCAGCAGCACCCCAGCGAGGAGGACAGGTGCAACCTCAGCCTCAGCAGTACCCCAGCGAGGAGGGCACGTGCAACCTCCGCCTCAGCAGTATCCCAGCGAGGAGGACAGGTGCAACCTCAGCCTCGGCAGTACCCCAGCGAGGAGGGCAGCTGCAGCCTCAGCCTCAGCTTCAGTATCCCAGTGAGGAGGGCAGGTGCAGTGCCGGCCTCAGCAGTATCCCAGCGAGGAGGGCATGTACAATGCCAGCCTCACCAGTATCCCAGCGAGAAAGGGCGTACAGTATCAGCCTCAGCAGTATCCCAGCGAAGAGGGCAAGTACAGCGTCGGCCCCAGAGCCACTTCATTGGACATGGCCGGGAGAAGATCGGGTTCACCGCAGCGTCCGGCTCCTCACCCCTCCCCCTCCCCTCCCCGATCAGGGAAGTTGTCCCAGCTTGACCGAGCCGCAGCCCGCCCGTTCAATGGCCATCACCGCTGATCAGACGGCCCCCCTCCTGAGCTCGGCTGACGTCACGCTGCCCCCCCCCCCCCCCTCCTCGTGCCGGCAGGGTGGCTGGGGAGCGTGAGGTGCGGCGTCCCGGCAGCGTACCGAGCGCGGTGATCTCATGCCAACACCAACGTGGCGCAGCGATTCAAAACGCATTGAGCGCACAACTGTCACCGAGCACAACCGTTCGTGCGGAAAGTCTATATGCATGCATGCCCAAACACTCCTCACGTTCGAATCCTGACACGCCGGGAAAGAGGAGACGTCTGCTCCTTAAACTATGCTAAGCCTGTTAACGAGCAGCAAAACTGTGCCAGACAATACGAGATCGGTTCGAAAAACCGTGCTTCGAATAAACAAAATGTTTTGTCCGTGCCCGTGCCCAATATTCTTATTCTTAAGTGTCTGCAATTTTTAACTGTCAGCATATAGTCACGGACATACAAATACCGGCCATAGATTTGGTAAGGAGATGACTAGGGCATTCTACGGGGAACTGCTGTATGCACACACCTCTGTCTTTAACACGGGTGGCCGCCTGGATAACCTTCGCTCGGGTAGGGGGGGGGGGCAATTTAACCCTGAGATGTCGGGAACTAAGAAAGCCAGATGCACTAAATTTACAGGGTCTGTTGACCTGTACGTAAGCTAACTTAGGTCAAAGTTTCAGGTTCCTAGATCATGATCTTTGGGTCAAAAAAGGCCAAACAAGGCCAAGCCCCAGGTTGATCTCCAGAGTCCCCAAAACCTAGATAGCAGTTTCCAAGCAAAAGATGACATTATCGTTCAAGGTCAGTGACCTTGTTTGACCTTTTGAAGGTCAAGGTGGCCAAAATCATACAAGATTGCTTTGAGTTTTGCATTTTACTGAGCGATAAAGGTTACGCTAGGCAGTATGTTCCTAAAACAAAATGTTGACCTGGGTCATTTTGGGTCAATTACCTATTCTGACCTCTAAGAAGTCCATGGAAAATGCATAATGCGGTTCGTGCTATCAATAAACTCGAAATGAGCACCAGAAACTATCCCATACAGCAAGCCCTAGAGTAACAAAACAGGTTGATTTTGACCTTGGTGTGACCTTCATACCTGACCCTAAGTGGATGTAATTCGCTCATTCAACTATTGTGTTGCCTAAGAAAGCATCTCAGAGATGTATGACTTCGTCTAACACTCCGTTGTTGGATCAGATTGAAGGATTCCCTAGAAATTGTCTTCGTTGAAACCCTCGCCTGACCTTGACCTGCCATAGGTCAGCGACCTTACAAGGTGCATCTGAACTGATGCCAACTGAAGTGATGCCAAACGATCCGCTATTCAATTGTCTATAGTTCCGTAAAATCTGGCGCGGCTACGCCGCGCTGTTCGGAAACCACTCTGGAAAAACTCTCGGTGGGTCAATTTGACCACCATCCGAGCGTGTGTTAATGCATTCGTGCCTCTCCACGGCAAATGTACATTGTGCATATTCTTCAGTAGTCTACGCGTGTCAGGCCACGCCAGTTTGCGTAAAATTGTCTCCTTGCACCTCGGACCAGGGGTGGCGCCACTGGTTTCAGTTGGGGAACAGGATTTTCCAGGGGCCTCCAGGACAAGATGGGGCTTCTTCACAAGCAGGTCTCCTGAGTCTCGTACTCAAGGGGCAGAGGTACCAAGTTTCTTTATCAAATTGTTACATGTATCCTATCCTTGTACAAAAAATGTCGAAATTACACAAGCCAGAACATGGACATTCCGATTGCTCAGAAAGAGGGTTTCACTGTTCTAAAACAATGTCTCCTGTTCCAGTAAAGGACCTCCAGTAAAGGCATGGTGGGCCCCCTAATTCAAAACAGGATGCTTTCTATTAGCGAATGGGCCTCCGACCCGAGCCAGGGAGTCACGTTATCGCAAAGCAGGTCATCCTGATCCGGAACCGCGGCCACTTGACACATGAAAGGGTCTCCTGTTTCAGAGATGCGGCCTCGTAAGTATAGAGGGTGCTTCCTAACCCAGACCAGGGGTCTCCTAGTTCATAAAAGGGGCCTCCCGAGACAGCAAAGGGGCCTCCTTAACAAAACGTGGGGCCTAATAATCTAGATACCCTAGTCGTAAAGGCGGCCTTATGACCCACAAAACATGCGCTCACTTGCAGGGAATTTCTTGACCTAAGTTTTGATAATCTACGGGTAGCTACAATGCTTTTAGTTTGGAAAAAGGTGTCTCCTAAAAGTTTTGAGGATCAAAAACATACACTTGCCGCCTGTCTGCCGGTAGGAGCAATTGTCCCTCTGCCCCCTGCTGCGCATATATATATATATATATATATATATATATATATATATATATATATATATATATATACATATATATATACATATATATGTATGTATATATATATATATATATATATATATATATATATATATATATATATATATATATACTGCCGGTACCTACTACGCCTTCAGTTTGGAAAAATGTAAAGAACAAATACATGCACAATACTCGACTTTTGATGCACAATATCTGAGCGGACAAACGAGACTCATTTCCGCTGATCACATCGGACTGCATTTTAACGGTAGTTTCTATGAGGTTCACCAAATTCTTCGCTTCACGAAGCTGCAGTTTCACATCGGCTTGGAGTGTGAAAACGCTCTTACGTATAGCAATCTTCCATCGGCTGACATTCTTGTAAAAAAATAAGAATAAAAAGCTATCCTTGACATCGGGAACGCCACTTTCGGTGGCCAGAATCTGGGGATAAATCAGGGTTTAACAACAAGCTGTATCAGCAACTTCGCCTGAGCCTTAAACCAATTTAAAAATTGACACCTCTAGTAATTTTCAATTCTGTCTCAACCTCAGTGAATAGATGCCACGCCCGCACCTAAACCGATGCGACTGTTGACCGAGTGGACCCAGCGACAGAAGCGCCGCGCGAGGAAAGACCGGAAAAATCAGGAAAAGCCGGCCGTCCTGGCTCCTGAACCCGAGAGGCGCCGCCGCGCCGGGACGACCGCTGTCGGCTCACCCTGTTCTTGATGACCCCAGTCCGGCTGCCGACGAAGATCTGGTGCACGCGGAACGTCTTGGCGAACATGGCGCCGAACGCCAGGGAAAAGCCGATGCTAAGAAGGTACACCCGGGCCTGCGGGCGGGCAAGACAGCGTTTGCTGAAGGGGAATAATCTCAAGTGGGTAAACAGTGGTTGGGGCAGAGAAGAGTGTCGTCAGTTTATTTAAGAAGAAATAATCACGTTCCAATAGTGATATTGGCTGGCGGGAAGATAAGGTGCTGTGGTATTCATGGTATTGCCTGGCAGGAACACAAGGTGCTGCTTTTACGGACTGCGAATGTAGTGTGGACAAGGAAGCTCAGGATAGCAGCAGGAGGCGATATCAGACGTTCAAAGTAGCAAGAGGTGGTGATATGGAACGTTTAGAGTAGCAGCAGGCGGTAATATCGGATGTTCAGGATAGCAGCAGGCGGCGATATTGGATGTGCTGTGCGCTCAGCTTTGCCAGTAGAATTCTTAACGCCTGGTGACGAGCGAAACCTGGTGCTGATACGGTCTGGCACATTGTATTTAAAACGGAGATAAACTTTATACAATTTGTCATGAACGAAGAAATCCAATTCCATCCAGCGTCATCTCATTAAGGATTAGACGTGTTGGAACAATCTCCTGCTGGTGCGTCGAGTCAACAAGATCATTAATTCACTTGTTTGTATTTAATCACAGATAAATCTTGACTCAGCGCCTAAGAGGATTTCCGGATTAGTTACTGTAGCGGAATTCTGAATGCGACGGGGACTGTCATATCACGGATAAGGCGGGCGCGCACAAAAGAAAAACTGACAGGGAAGAGAAATCACGGCTTAACTCTATTCACGTCGCCCTCATCTCGGAGGAAGCTGTGCGGTGCGAGCCGCAGCTGGTTGAAAACGAAGTGGGCAGATTTCAGCTCCACCACTCGTTCGCTGATATTTTCCGCTTAGCACTGTTTGCTTACCACCATCTTTAAAAGGCAATGGTTTCGCAGAGACGAAGACACGCATCACGGTCATTCATGCAAGCACCGCAAAACCAATTCCTTGAATTCTGGGAAGCGCTGAACGGGGATTACGCTGGAATGGTCGGTCAGGTCTCGCGGGGCGGTCGGCTGGGTGTCGTAGGATGATCGGCCGGGTGTCGCGGGTGTCGCCATTTCATAGTCTCCTGAGTTTTGCACCAGAATGTCGGGATGTTGGACTGGGTTCGAATTAGCAAAGCATGCAGGAAAAATTTAAATATAAGGCTATACCGCACGTGAACCTTCTGTGTGATGGAACGACGCCTCAGGCCGACACCCTTGCCAGTCTGTGAACTCGGAGAAGTTCTACGTAAACAAAAAAGAACAACATAAAACTTCAGGAAACCCTGCAGTCGTACGGGATCCCATGGCCTGTAGCGTGACTACGGAGCCAGAGTCGGACCTTGCACCCTCTCCAACCCTTCCCGACACGGACAGTGGAGCACACGTGTAAGTTTTGCGACATGAGGATTTATTGGCTGAGGCTGCGCTTTCATAACAATCGGTTCGCTCGAGTAACTTCCTGAAACGGCCGTCATCGCCAAATGCGGCGGTCCCACGCTCCGACGCCAGAGCAGGGAAAACTACCAGGAGGATGGCCATGCTGCACGCGTCAGGGGAAGATAAGAATGAGATACCGCACAGCGTAACATGTCAATGCAAACACAACTGACATCGTTATTTAAAAGACTGACTCAAGCCACCTCATCGCCCGCCAACACATCTCTCTGCCCATACAGTCACGGTTTAAAAGAGCCCTCGAGCAGGGCACGTCCACCGGCGCGCGAGGCAGAGCAGCCTGTAGCGCGGTCTGGTGATCCCGCAAGACCTGGCCGACGGCCCACGAGACCCAGCCGATCGTCTCACGAGAACCGGCCGACCGTCCCGCGAGACACGGCCGGTCGTCTCACGAGACTCGGCCGACCGTCCGCAAGACCCGCGCCACAGTACCGTGCAGACGATGGAGAAGTGTCCGGTGCTGGACAGGGTGGCGTAGTCCAGGCCCAGCAGCACCACGGCCACGTACACCAGCATACAGCCCACCACGGTGATGCTGTTCAGCTTCGGGCTGGACAGCTTCACCTGCCTGAGAAGCGGACCAACGACGCGGGTGAGAGAGAAGCAGGAGAGGGCCGTGTGTCCCGTCGGCAGGCCTCAAGTTGTTTGATAACGCCGGTTTCTGACCGGATTGTATTTTATTATAGCTTCTTCTGACAATTCAAATAATTCCAAAGCTTCGTGATGAATGGGAGAGCTTGTCCTGAAAAAGAGCCCAAACCTCTCATAATAATGATGACCTCGCCACACTGTAGGTCGCTTTGCGTGCGCTCTGGCGGGCTTACGACCGCGACGGCTTAAGTCCCAGCTATCGCAGTAGCTCAATACAGTAAACGCCGCGTGCAGCGAGACTTGCAAACGTACACAATTCCATTAGAGACTGCAAGGGTAAAGGAACGGTCTAGATGTAATGATCTCATCATTAAAAAAAACTGCACTTGCTGAAAGCATCCTTTTCAAATGTATACGAATGAAGTTGCGAAATGCGTTCACGGTTCATTTTGTTACATATTTCGTCTGAACCTTTGCATTGGATGGATTTCCGGATCCAGGAATAACAATTTCATGAGCCCTGGACCCACCATCCGATCGTGAAATTCGAAAGGTTAAAGGCAGAGTTTTGTAGCAAAAGCTTGGCGCGTCGTACTGCTCGACCTGGACCGTCCTAGTCCTGACGTCGACTGACCTTTCGAGCGGCCGCTGCCACCGGCCGCAGGCCGTCCTAGTTACGGGAAATTGCGAGTGCTTAAGTGCTTCGCCGCGAGCGGATGAGTCCTAACACCAGCTGAGCCAACTGACAAGCAGCCAACTTTAACCAACTGTGCTGTCGGAAAAGACTTGTTCTCGTCTTTTTTCGCGTAGCGGGGAGGTCTCTACACTGTCACAAGTCTGCAAAGTTAAGGCCTTCGCGTGGGTGCTATGGAAGGTGAACATATGGTTGTGACACTTTTAGAAAGGTGGTGATCTATGACGCGGCGGCTAAAGAGAGCCGCAAGAGCAACAATATTTCAATGACCTGGGATTAATAGGCGTTAAAACCTACATTTCAAAACCATGGACGTCCTGCTTAGCGTCCACTCTGTGGTACTTTGCTTATGGCAGTGTTCCACAGCAAGACATAGCACAATATATGCAAGCTTTCCCTTGTTAATTGTACCCTGGGCTGGGCAAGCCTCATTTGGGAGTCGGAATATCCCGCTTGTTTTTGGTAAAAGTAAAACAGAAAAAACCTGTTCAGTAGAGACTGCATATGCTACGTCAGTAAATATCTCGTCATCAGTGATTTTTCAAAGGGAAATGAAAATCATCACCCTGTTCTCTTGAAGAACCATGCCCAGCACGGAACACCGTGAATTAGTTCACGGTTGAAATGTCTCAATGGCGGCACAGCTGACATTGGCGTCTTCCCTCTCCTCTCATCTCCACGCCCTGCACCGCGCTACCCACTTCATGTGCTTGTAGTAGACGTTGAAGGCGAAGAAGACGCCGGAGAGCAGGACGCCGAGCGAGGCCAGGCAAACGATGGGCAGCAGGGCGGCGCGCGACACCGTCACCACGCGCGTCACCAGCAGCCGGCGCGCCACCGGCGCCTGGCCGCCCGGCCACCAGACGGCGGCGCAGGCGGCGCAGCGCAGCTCCAGCGCCGCCGGCCGCGGGTCGTACAGCGCCACCAGGCTGAGGTTCCCGCCTGCCGGTCACAGCCCGGTCGCAACTCACCGATGCACCGACCCCGCGTCGATTTAGATGGCAGCGACAGAGTCGTCCTCTTTATGCCCTATGCTTGTTCGGTGCAAGTCACATACCATCACCAGAAATGAAATTGAGCCCTCGGACCGTTCGCAAATTGAAAAATCCGATATTGCCTGAGCACAGCCACAGAAAAACCCAGCAAAGCGCTGGAGAGAGATAGCTTGTCAGAGCATAGCAAGCCACTGAACGCGAGGCCGTAAGGTCACTTCAGGTGCGGGTGCTGCCGCTTCGCACGGGCGACTTGACCCTCTCACCTCGTAGCTGATAGAAGGCGCTGAGACCCCTGCGATCGGCCCCGTTGAAGCTGACTGGTCCCTGAAACATACGCTGCTGATAACGGTGCGGTGGGACGAGAACGAGACAGACGACCCGGGGAGGCGAAGAAAAACGGGAGACTGAGAACGGCACGGTGGGACGAGAACGAAACAGACCAACCGGGGAGACGAAGAGAAGCGGGAGAGTGAGAACGGTGCGGCGGGACGAGAACGAAACAGACCACCCGGGGGGACGAAGAGAAGCGGGAGACTGAGAACGACGCGGTGCAATGGGAACGAACCAGACTTCGGGAAGATGAAGAGAAGCGGGAGAGTGAGAACGGCGCGGCGGGACGAGAGCGAAACAGATCACCCGGGGAGACGAAGAGAAGCGGGAGAGTGGGAACGACCCGGCGGGGTGGGAACGAAACAGACTTTCCGGGGAGATGAAGAGAAGCGGGAGAGAACGCCTCGGAAACGCCAGGACGGCATACAAGTTTTCGGAGAGAAAACAGAACGGTGACGAGAATATGCAGAAAGGCGGGAAACGGGACAGAACATTTTCGGAACAGGACGAGAACACGTCGCGCATTTCGGGACGAAGACAGGAAAAGGTTTATTGAGATACGGCAAGTCACAGCCGGGAGGAGACGGAAAACTTAGAGGGGGGGGGGGGACTCCACCAGAAGAACAAAACATCTCGGGAAGGGACGGGAACGGGACAGAAATCTCCGGATGGGGTGAGAACGAGAGGCAGGCCGGAACACTCTGCAAAGAAGAACGGAACACGGACCATCAGAAGTTGCGAAACCAGATCCAGCAGAGACCGACTACGGCATCTTTCAAGAGGATCTAAAATGCGGACGCTGGTTAGCTCGCACGCCATTGTAACTAAATGTGCAATAACTACGTTGACACAATTAGTATGGCAGCCGTAAAATGGGAACCCACTCAGGACAATTTCAGGTGGCACATAAGTTTCTAACTAGATCAATGGAGCGCAAACGACCCTTTCCCAACTTGAAAGCACGTTTTTGTCCCTTTTTTAGGTTCACCCTCGCCTTAAATGTTGATTTCACGATCCGGCTTTCGGCAAATAATCTGCCGATTATGAAAAGTACCGATATACATCAGTGACGAGTCACTTATCCACGATGTTCTTGTTCTGGCTTTGTTGTTACATGTATTCATTGAACGCCACATGTTCCAAAGAACCCAGTCAGAAATCATTTTAAACTTTCCTCCACCTTCCCTCCATGTCATGAAATAAGTAAAAGATGAATCGCACAATTCTCTGCACACCGCTCTTCCTAGCCAGCTTCCCTACGCCGATGTCTCGTTGAGTTGAGCAGCTACAATGTTCACAGATCAATTCTTGTTGGTCTACCACGGGCTCGCTTTCAGCATATTTGAGGCGCAGACACCGCCTATGGTCATCCAGATTTTCACAAGACTGCAAACCTTTATCAAGCTTCAAGCCAGGCTTCCACGCCGCCAGCAGCCACAGCTACAGCTCATACTCGTGGAGCGGGGGTTATCCCTGCACCACATCACCATACCAGCGTACGGTAGCCTCCGAAGGGAAAACACGAAAGCTGGAGAGTTGCCGGCTGGAAATTGCTGCGGTGTGATTTAAGCGTTTGCGCCGCAGCGTTCTATGGAGAATGCACCATTTACAAATGAGATGTAAACAAGCCGTGGCAAGACTAGCGCTCCTCCCACACTCAGCAAAGGGAGCGGGCCTGATCAAGAGCAAGGCGGAATACGAGAGCCGGCATGATACAACAGAACAAAGTAAGGACATGGCCCAGCCTGGCTCCGCGCCGTCCTCATTCAGGGTCTGCATTTGTGTACGCAGCCGGCTGGACAGACTCGGTGTGTGCGTGGGAGGGGAGGGGGGGGGGGGGGGAGGGACGGAGCGTGTTGTGTTGTCATGTCATGAGAGCCGCGCCAGAGCCTTTCAACTGCAGGTAAGCGGATTATTTGAGTGACATTAGAAATTTGGACGGGTCTCCCCCCACTCTCACCCCGCCCACGTTTCTTCTCAAAGCGCGTGAGCCGTCTTTTCTTTACGCAATGGGTTCAGCGCTGAATCAAATCAGCACCGAGCACATTGTGATGCATTCTGGGCATCACCACATAACGTGTACCGCATCAGATCAGCAACGAGCACATTATGGCACATTCCGGGCAGTGGAATATAACTGGTATATCTCGCCAAGGATGGAAGCCAATATATTGGAGTTCGTGGAAAGCTTCGGGCGCGGGTTTATCGAAGTCATCGCACGCGGTATCACGGGAAGGACAAGCAGGCGCAGTCCGACCAAAGCCAGGCGGGTTTCACTGGTAACTGTGTCATACATGTCATGTCATGTCATGTCATGTCACGTCTTGTATATGTACTGACGCCATGCAACACAGCAATCGAGGCATCTGGAAGACCATTCCATGGCAGCTATGGTTGCTGATAGGTGGACGCGGATTAGATGCGACCGGATGGGGTTACTTGGTCTTAACCTTGCCTCCAACAGAGTGATGTGGCATGGTTTCTGGAGAAAATGTGAACAATTCAACAAAATCGGCCGCCTTGCTACTTTCACTTTCGATTTCAACCGTTGTATTATATGGTGGCGTAACGCAAATATGGCTGTAATTATCAGCTGTTTCAAGCTTAGCCTTATAAAACGCAAATAGCGTTACAAGCAATGCAGGGAGTTCCTACCATGCGTAGTGCTCACAGTCTTGAAAGCAATCTTGTGACACAACCAGGCATAACTGTAATCGCGCCACATTTGCCCCCATGGTCAGACAACGATCAGCTGGTTTTGCGATATTCCTTTCTCGCGCTCCTTTTCTCGCGTACAATAACCGCTAAACACTGTTATGTTTGGCGGAGTCCCGGTGAAAGATTCATCGTTACCTGGCCAAATACCCACACCGCTATAGATTTCAAGCAAACAATAAACAAAACGCAGCTCGTTTCATCACCGTAACATTAAACCCACGCATTCTAAGGACAGATTCAACTTGTTTTCCATCATGTCTGATGCCTTCAGCTCTGGTCTCGAATGTCGCTAATTTCTGATTATAGCTTCGCTTTACTGTTATCGCGCCGAATGTCCCAAAGAGTCCGGGACTTCTTTATACCGTCTTTTAAGCAACACACATTTCAGAGCAATATTTTTACAAACGGCTTTTTCACACCTCAGAGTCATCCAGAACAATCCACCAATTTGGAGGCGCCAACCTCTCACTTCGAACATTTCACGCCGGAGGAAATCCACGGATTTACTTTACGGGCAATGACGCCCCGCCTAAGTCCGGTGGTTCCGGAAACGAAGGTGCTCATCCAGCGAAGTTGCTCGATGCATGCTGATCACGTGCGAGGCTATGACGTCACGGTCGCCATGCCATCGATCCCGTCGGGGTCAGAGCTGTCCACGGAGAGAACAGCCCAGTTATCACTACAGGAATCAGCCCTCTCCCCCTGAGGCTCCTCGAAGCCCGAATTTGGGAACTAAATAACAAAGAGGGAGAGAGCAAGTAAATAAAGAGGAGAGAGGAAGTATTGGTAAGCTCACAGCTAGCATGGAAGAATTAAGATGCTCGCAAATTAACCGAGATTCCAAACTTAAATCCCCAGTCAAATTCACAGAAACCGCTGTCAAGTTGAACTGAGTGGTCTAACCATTACACTGCCGAACTTACCGAGACGTCGGTGAAGTTGAACTGAGTGGTCGATACGCTGCACTGACGAACTTACTGTGATGCCGGTGAAGCTGAACTGAGTGGTCACACCACTACACTGTCGAACTTACCGAGACGTCAGTGAAGTTGAACTGAGTGGTCGAGCCGCTGCACTGGCGAACTTACCGACACGCCGGTGAAGTTGAACTGAGTGGTCGAGCCGCTGCACCGGCGGGCTTACCGAGACGCCGGTGAAGTTGAGCCTCTGCGTGGCGCGGAACAGGTCCCGAGCCGTGTCAGCCCGGCTGTAGTCGAACTGGTGGAGAGAGCGGCTGAGGCCGCGGGCGCGCCACTCGCGCTGGGTGTGCCGGAGCGCCAGAGCCACGCTCCACAGAGCGTCATAGGCCAGCGCGGCCGTGCGGGTGACGGGCACCCGACGCCGCCGCAGCCCCCGCCGAAACGCCCCCGAACTCTGCCGGACAAGGAGCCAGTCAGAACGGCAGGGTAGTGGCTCAGGGCGTCCCTTCAGCCCTCCCAACCTGGGCCGGATCGACTGGCACGGCTCATGGCGTGTCGTTCTCTCAGCGCTGTCCAGTCATTCGCCCTGCTTTCCTCATTCTCGCTTCCTCGTGCGTCCTCGCGATGACATACGCCAGCCAACAGCGGGCTTAAAATGCCCCCGGCGGAGCCCCGTCCAAGCGCCGAGCGCCCAACACGTATCACGCATACCCCGTTCTGGCTGTTTTTGCCAAGCCAAGTGATACCAGGTGCAGCTGGGGCAGCTTTGTCCCTTGTGACCAGATTTGACTTTGAAAAAGGGCACACGATTTAAATCTCGATAGAGCACAGCTTACCGATTTGGGAGGTCTTTCTGACGTCGTTTTCTCCCAAAGGTGTGGCCTTTTAAGTTTTTGATATAGCCGCACGGGTCAGCCCAACAATGGCCTTCATCCCTTTAACCTGGCATGACATACTGCAGGTCACACCTGTCCCTGTTTAGCCGCACCCGTCTAATAACGACTCTTCAGAGCCGTTTTTGCGCATTGTCGTTGCATTCTGAGATTTGAAGCCATAGGAGGGGCAAATAAAGTGCTGATATGGCCACCAAGACCCCATATGACTTGCCGAAAGACACACCCATCATGGTTCAGTCACACTCATCTGATACAGTTTGAGAACATTTTCCGATTCTATTTTTGTTGTCGCCCTGGGTAACATAATTTTTGAGGCCTCTAAGGCACCCCTTTTCGTACCGCACTGCCTCAAGCTGGAGCCGGCTGCCGCCGACCATCAATCACCAACTCTCGAACACACAGGCAGCTTGTCCAGAAACTTGACGACATGCCTGCCGCTGTGCAATGCCATGTTTTAACGAACAATGCTGACGTATTTTTAAAATTAAGGAACCAATAAATCATTAAACATGTGCAACTGTGGTAACGTTGTTGTCACCAAATGATAATTGTGCCGTCAATTTGCATCTAATCAAATAACAAACCATTTTTTTGAACAATTTATCAGTAACATGCATGATCAATAATCATATTCGACTTATTCATGATGCATTTTGTCCAAGGTATAATGAACCTGTGTGGATTCAGCCAAAGAATGCTTGATAGAAAGCAGATTTCCTTTTTCTCAGTTCGTGGATCAGCATCGTTAAGTTTAATAATCAAAACTGAATTTATCATCGACGCATCAGTTTGTTTTATGAGCTGGTTTCCATATGTCTAGCTGACGCTCAAGCATAGAAAAGGTTGATTGTAGTACACTCTTACTATGGTGCCCAAATAGCTTAACATTTTACCCAAATTTGCCGTGGAAACCAAAATTCGTGCTCAGACCACGAAAGGCTGCGCGCACTCTGCAAATCCTAGTACTCCTTTCCCCTCTTCTCCGGAGGACGTCAATGCCATTCCCCGCGTCTGCTCCCTTTCAACGTTACTTTCCCCTCCCCCCTCCATCCCCCCCCCCCCCAAGAGGCGCCGGCCGGACCCAGTCTGGCAACAAATAGCCCGACTAATTTCCGGAACCAAGCTTCGGAAATGGGACTCAGTCTCGCGTCCCCCCAGGCGGTGTTGTCAGGTCACATCCGAGCCGCGGCCGGGCCGCCACGACGTCGGGGGAGGCGACGGGTGACCCTCCTCCCCAGGGGGAGGACGGGGGTCACCGCGACCGCCGGGGCACTTTGAGCTGGCGGCCCGGTGACGCGCGCGGCACACACGGCTGCGCTTCTTGTGCTCTCGAACTGTCCACGCCGGCGCGGCGGTCTGTTAGCGCCGAGTTAACATTTGTCTTCGTCTCTGAATCGGACGCTGGGCGCCAACAGCCGCTGATGCATCGCCAAACAAGCGCCTGGCGGCCGAACTGCCCGCCATGGCGCAGTCGCTCAATGTGTCATCAGATACGGTGCTGGAGGGCCCCCGATGCCATCAGAGGCTTGACAGTCTCCATCACCGCCGTGGTCCGCGTGACGTAAATCCAAAACGTGCCACAACAGGAAAACTTTGCGGACGCATAGCTCAGAAGCTAGAAGGGCTTAGGCGTTAAGAAGGGCAGGGCTATGAACTGCACCGGACGATCCTCTAGGTGGCTATTTCAGTTAAAAACCCCATACGAATGTGGAACACTTCCTTAGAGCGGGACATAGCTGTATCTGCGAGCTGGTTGTCGCGGCAGATATTTCATTACGCGAACACATTTCACCACCACATGAAGAATCTTCGTCTTCGAAAATTTTCTGACCTTTGTTCCCAAACAAGGAGCAAATAATAGTTCATACTGTTTTCTTTCCAAGTCATGCCTATGCTGAGCAGGGGAAGACGTGCGATCTGTTCAAGATCCACCTTAGTTTACTTGATTATAACGGTTACAGCAAGAATAGTGAGACACATACAGGACGTTGAATTTCTACTGGATGTTCATAAGACTCATGCACTATGCACAGCTCCGCATACATATTGCGCTATTAACGTCAAGGAAAGACACCCAGGATGCATAAGCGCCCACAACACGAAAGTACCGTTTTGGTTGGCTGTTACAATGACATCCAAACACACTCATGGAGCGTGTTTGCACACTTATTATCCCGCTCTGGTCTGGGACGAACATAATGCGCGCGATCACTACCATCAATACATACAGTCCCAAGGCCAGTATGTCATATGCCATCCGATAAGGCTGAAGCGAATGTCTGGAAGTTAACCGAGCACGCTGTCCCCGGTCCGGTGGTGAGATGCGGGTGGGTGGACCACACCACTGGTCACGGGGAGCAGAGCAGCGCCTCTGCGTTTGGCGCAACTGCCCAGGGTAGGCAGCTGGGCTCCGACAGGCTGCACGTTGAGCTCAGTCCGTGACCGGACGAAGCTGGCCAGTCTCAGACGGGCTGCACGCTGAGCTCAGTCCGTGACCGGACGAAGCTGGCCATTCTCAGACAGGCTGCACGCTGGGCTCAGTCAGCGACCGGACGAAGCTGGCCAGTCTCAGACAGGCTGCACGCTGAGCTCAGTCCGTGACCGAACGAGGCTGGCCATTCCCAGACAGGCTGCACGCTGAGCTCAGTCCGCTACCGGACGAAGCTGGCCAGTCTCAGACAGGCTGCACGTTGAGCTCAGTCAGCGACCGGGCGAAGCTGGCCATTCTCAGACAGGCTGCACGCTGAGCTCAGTCCGTGACCGAACGAAGCTGGCCATTCTCAGACAGGCTGCACGCTAAGCTCGCTCCGCGCCAGCGACAGAACGAACGCCCCGTAGCGCCTGCCGTGGCCACTCCGGCCGCCCCTCCCCTTTATCAGACGCCCTCTCCACGCACCGCCGTCGGCCGTGGCTCCCGAGCGACACAAACACGGAATCGATCAAGCATTTGGTCCGGCGGCGGCGGCGCCAGCGCCGTCGCCTCCGGACGGTAATAAGCCGGGCTGCGTTGTAGACGGGGGGAGGGGGGGGGGGGGCAACGAGACAACGCACGCAAGGCCGCACCCCCCGCAGCGCATAGAAGACCTGGGCCCGCCCACACTGTCGAAGGAAGTGGGTCAGGGATGGGGAGCACAGCAGGACAGATGCGGAAAAGATGTCACAGGTTTGGTGGCAGCTCTGTGCTGGCCTGACGTCAACCAAGAGGGGATGTTCGGAGAAGGCGCTACGCTCTGATCTCTCTGCCCCTCTGCTGATGTAGCTTTGCTGCCGCCGACGGCTTTCATTAGAAAATAATGACTTGATATGCGTATCCGTAAACATGACGCTCCAGCACATCGCGTGATTACGAGGTTGGATTGCATAAGAGATCGGTGGGGAAGGGGGAGGGGGGATCCATTCCCCAATGCACACGGCAGCCTGTTTGGATAGCGGACGGCTGTGATTCCCGACCGGGGATCGGAAAACACCCGTGGAGCTTTTCCACAATCCGGACAGAACGCCTCGGCGGGCATCGATACAGCGTGGCGTATCGTTATAGGTCACGAAAGATGAATGCACAAGTGTGTCAATCTGGAGGGTAGAGGCATCAAGGAAATTGAATACAAAATACCGACTTGGGGTGCTTATTTCGACCCTTCATTTCTCGCGTCTACGACTAAACGAAATCACAGGATGCAACTTGTGGCAACCACCTAATCAGAGGTCGAAGCGCTTGCTTACTTGGCAACACCAGCTGGGACCATTCTGGGACACTGTAAAAAGTTCAAAGAGACGCCGGAGCGTCTTGAAAAAGCTCTTCCTCCGCCCCGCGGTCTTGGCCGAGTCCTCAACCCCCTGGCTAACGTGCGGACGGAGCGCTCCGCTGGCCCGACCGCCCAACGCATTTTCGGGCCTGGCCCGGGCCTTTCCCATATGGCTTCTCCGCTCCCTTGCGGAAACATCCGGACGGTTCGGTTCCCGCGCACATTCCTATGGCCATGCCCCGCTCCCCCTTCTGTCCACCCCCCCCCCTCCCCCCTCCCCCCCACTCGTCCACATCGACATGGCGAAAGCTGTGTAGGAGACAGGACTGGGGACGCTCGGACGGAGCAGTAACAGCGGTTGCAAGGGGTTGAAACTTTTTTACCCTTACGAATTCTGCATCCGGTTTCATTTTTTTTCGGAGAAAATAATGCCACGGTATCGCGTGTTATGACCTCAGTTTAAAACAAATGATATCTGAAAGAAGGAAGGGCTATCAAAGTTTCATGTAGCCCCTTATTGTATACAGAAGGGAAAACGTGACTTATTGTTGTCACGACGCTGCACATAACTAGATGAAAATATGGCAATTGACGACATAATAGCGTCACACGCTCTTGTTCACAGCGCGCTCGTCGTGCTCATCCGCTCATCGCGCGTTCTCCTCATCGCGCACATCCTTAGACCACATGTGCGCGTGTGTGAGGTGTGCGCGCCATTGCCCGGCGTGCTTTGGCGGGAAGTCGGAGCGTTGGGAGAGGGGCATCGAACTGGAAGATAGAAGATCTTGTCCCCCCGCGCGCGTTTCTCCATTGAC